GCATGTGCATACGCCTCTGCGGCCAATTATCTTCGTTCCGCGCCCCGGACGTTGACCCGCTCCCTGTCCCTCGCCTTGGAGCCGCGAACCAAAAAAAATATCCCCACCAGGGACTCATGGAGCCATCTTATGTGGATATAAATTTAAATGAGGAGGAAGACGATGAGGATGAGGGGCGGGATCTTTTGCTGCGCCATCTTGAGGCTCAGTGCCCTCTTAGGGTTCTTGTAAGGTGTCTTGGAGTTCTCTTGGAGCTCTTTTGGGGGGTCACGGGGCGCTCTTGGGGCCCTCTTGGTGCCCTCTTGGAGCTATCTTGGGGCTCTCGTTGGGGGTCTCTTGGTAGCCCTGGAGGACATTTTGGTAGCCCTGGAGGACGTGTTTGGGATGCGAACAGGCGAGAAGGCAACACGCACACATTTGTCCCTGGTGTTTGTCCGATTTTGGCTTCTCGGGGAGGTCGTGATGGGTCTGTGAGGGCACGTGGAATCGTCTTGTGGCCCTCTTGCGTCGTCTTGGAGGCATGGTGGAGGTCATCTTGGAGCACCGGACGCCCTCTTGGAGCCATCTTGAGCGGAACTGGGTCCCCTGATGACTCCCGACCCCCCGGTCCAGACCCTTGGGAGGGGAGGGGGAGTGTACAATTCCCCGAAGGGAAGAGGGGTTTGGGATGAGGAAAGCATGATATCATTAGACCACCTACGCCCAGAGGGCTGTGGGACAACAGGAGCCATCTTTGCAGTATGGGAGGTGGAGAAGGATGCGTGATGATGCGTGATGCTGACGCTGATGATGCTGATGATGACGATGCTGATGACGCTGATGATGATGCTGCTGATGCAGATGGTGATGATGATGATGATGATGATGATGAGGATGTTGATGAGGATGCGGCTGATGACAATACTGATGATGATACTGATGCTGACAATGCTGTGGCTGACGGCAATGATGATGATACTGATGATGAAGTTGCTGCCGATGGTGATACTGATGATGATGGTGATGATGATGGTGGGGGTGGTGATGATGAGTGTGTGGTCGTGATGATGATGTTGATGATGATGTTGATGATGATTCTGATGAAACGCGACGGGGATGATGTTGATGATGCTGATGACGATGATGATTCCGATGCTGATACTGCTAATGGTAATGATGAGGAATTTGCTGATTCTGATGCAGCTGCTGCTGATGATGATGCTGCTGCTGGTGATGATGATGAGGATGGCGATGATGATGATGATGATGATGTTGATGATGATGATGATGATGGTGATTGTGATCATGATGAAGAAGAATAGTGATGATGACTATGATGATGACGTTGATGTTGATGATGATGATGCTGCTGATGATGCTGCTGCTGATGAGGATGATGATGTCAATGAGGATGATGCTGATGATGATGATGATGGTGATGATGGCGATGATGATGCTGATGATGATTATGATGTTGTTGATGTTGATGATGATGAGGTTGATGATTGTGATGATGGTGGTGCTGATTATGATACTGCTGATGATGCTGACGATGGTGGTCATGGGCATGATGATGCTGCTGACGATGATGATGGTGATGATTATGATGATGATGCTGATGATGATGATGATGAGGACAATGGCGATGATGGTGGTGGTGATGATGATGATGATTATGATGATGATGATGATGATGATGATGGTGATGATGATGATGATGATGATTATGATGCTCATGATTCTGCTGCTGCTGATGATGATGATGATGACGATGCTGATGATGATGATGATGATGATGATGATGATGATGATGATGATGATGATGATGATGATGATGATGATGATGATGATGATGATGATGATGATGATGATGATGATGATGATGATGATGATGATGATGATGATGATGATGATGATGATGATGATGATGATGATGATGATGATGATGATGATGATGATGATGATGATGATGATGATGATGCTGATGCTGATGCTGATGCTGCTGCTGCTGCTGCTGCTGATGATGATGATGATGATGATGATGATGATGATGATGATGATGATGATGATGATGATGATGATGATGATGATGATGGTGATGATTATGGTGACACGATGGAGCACGAGGAGTGGCAGGGAAGGGTGAGTGAGGTGTCAGTGGGAGAGGATAGGGGAGGAGGAATTCATATCCTCAACTCGAATCAACTGTTTCTCTGGGTCTGGGGAATTCTGCTGATCACTCTCACGAGTTTGTACTCCTTTGTGGACTTCGCCTCCTGGGTCTCCGACGTCGTGATTTTGTCCCAGTCTGTTGGCCCTAGACCTCTTCACCCCTCCCCTGGCACGGATTGTTCGTCCGCGTAGTTTCATGATTACCTTGGGTCGGCTACGCGTAAGAGTGACCCGTCGCGGAGTGACTTTTGGTGCGGGCCCACAGGGGCCCACCTAAGAGTGACCCTTCGCTGGATTGTTTCGGATTTGGCCTGCTCCGAACCCGCCCGTAAAGCCGCGCATGAAAAGTCACTCTTGCCTAGGTTCACTGATGCGTGTAACGGGCTCTGGGGCCTGAAAGGTTCCCCCAGAGACCGACCCCCCGAAGTCCCCACAGGTCCCCATGAGAGCCTCGGAGGTCTTTTCAGGCCTCTGTGGGACCAGAACGTTTAGAAGCCTCGGTGCCTAAGCCAGACACCTGGCGCCTCGAAACAAATCGAGGCGGCTGGTTTGTCGCCGCGTTTGTCTTGTGGTGCCAGTGGCGGGCCTCGGTCGGGGCTGCCAACAAGAAGGCTCGGGCCCCACAGGGCCCGGACATCCGCCGATGTGCTCTCCTCCATCCGCGGCCCCGGAGGTCCCGACCCGGCAGCTCTGCGCCCCGGATCCGTGTCTGATGGCCCCGGGGCCCAGAGCGGGCCCCAGAGGCCGACGTCGAGGCACACTTGCGGGATTAAACACGTCAGATCCTCGGAGGTCTGCGTGGACGGGCCAGCACTTCTGGGGGTCTCCCGGCCTCCCAGATGGGGTCATAGGATCGCACCGCATCGCCGATGCATCGGCGATGCGCTTGCATTTGAAGCATGATTTTGGCCACGCCGACGGCGACGATGCATCGCCGACGTCGCCGATGCATCGGCGATGTATCGGCGATGCATCGGCAATACATTGGCGACGCGGCGCGATCCTCCGACCTCACCTACTCCGACCACATCCGGGAGGCCTCTGGAGGCCGCACGCTGCGAACATACGAACGCTGGACCTCTGCGCCTCGGCCCAACACGGAGAGCCGGGGGCCGAGCGAGTGGGAGTTCGTGACGGCGGAGGCCTGGCCCGTCGGGCGTGGCCGGGGGCGGGGATGGCAGCGGCTCGCCTCTGCGGCGGAGCGCAGCACCGGCGGCGGCATGGTGAATCCGTGGGGGGGGCCCCGGGTGTCGCGGGCCGAAGAAGGTACCCATACCGTGGCCCATGCCGCTGCCCTAGCCTCGTTTTCCCTTTCTTTTTGGGTCTCCGGGGAGGCCCTCGTCGCCACTGGATTCGCCTCGAAATCCCAGTGGATACGGGGAGTTTTCTTTGTCGCGGATGCTCCGCGCGGAACGTGCCCGTGCGACCGCGTATCCGTGGGGTCGCGCCCTGGAATCCAGACCGCGAGGGCGCGGCTGCGGATGTGTTCGCCGCTCGTGAGGGCGGGGAGTCGAGGCGAGGCGGCGGTGACGGGGTCGACCTGGTGAGGCTTCGGGCTGCGCAGAGGCGGAGGCAGCCCTGGCGGGCCTCCAAGCAGGCCGCCCCCCGAGCAGTCTGGGGCGGCCTCCGCGCCAACACGGGGGGCGCGTCGGAGATCGATCGGGGACGAGGCATGGCCCAGGGTGGACTCTGGGGGGGGGTCCGGGGATGAGCGGATTCAGTGGGTTCGCGCCGCGTTGGCGGTGCGGCGGTGACTCCAGCGCGGGCGTTCGGGGCTGAGCGCCGCCCGTGTCCCCGGAATCGGCCGACCTCGAGCGTTCTGCGCTGTCGGACATCCGCTGCAGGCGATCGCTCGAGGCTGAGCGATCTACGCGGTGTCAGAAGCCAGCGCGCCAGTCGCCGCCGCGCGAGCCCGCTGTAGGCATCCGCCGCTCCGCGGGCAACTGGCGCAGGTCACAAGGAGCGATTGGTACGGGCGTCCCCCTGCGTGCCCATCTCAGATCCCCGACGTCGTGCTTTTCCATCCTCCTCCCTCTTCCTCCCTCCTGCTTCTGCTCCCTCCTCCCCCGGCTCCTCCTGCTCATCCACCTCCTCCTCCTCCTTCTGCTCCCTCCTCCTCCTCCTCCTCCTCCTCCTCCTCGTCCTCCTCCTGCTGCTGCTCCTCCTCCTCCTCGTCCTCGTCCTCCTCCTCCTCCTCTTCCTCCTCCTCCTCATGACGTGGATCCTCAGAGGTCTCGACCCATCCGCTGGGACCAGCTTTTCGTCCTGAGTCCTTTTCGCCCCGGGGCTCAGCGAGGGCTCCCAGAAACAGACAGTAGCAAACCAACCGTCCGTTACATTTTTTCTCCCAGCGCGAGGGGGTTTGGGGTCGTCTCCCTTTGCGTGCTCGGGGCCGCCCCCGGACGTCCTGGCGTCGGGGTATTGGCGGCGAGCGTCCTAATACTGCTTCCGGCCGAGCTCCTCCTGCCGGTCATCCTGGCCGCCGTGCTGTCCTGGCAGGTGTTCCGGGTCGGGGGCCTCCTGCGGTGCGGCGCCTTCCGAGCTCCGCTTGTTCCGACCGTCACTGGTAAGGCTTCGGGAATGCGCGCAGACAGCCCCCCCGAGGAGGAAAAGATGCCCATACCGCTGCCCTTCGCCCGTTCTCCCCTTTTTAGGCCTCCTGGGAGGCCCGCGTCGCCACCGCTGGATTCGCCTCGAAGTTGTGGTCAGAACGCACCCCAGGAAAGGTCCGGGGAGTAGCGCTATCGGTTCCTTTTGGTTTCCCTAGCCCCCCCAGTCCCAGCCGGCAGCCCAGGGCGGTCTCAACGCCCTGGCGCCGCCCCTGGCGGTGCCCCTGGGGCGCTCCGCGCCCTGGACTGCTCGCGGGCCTGTTGAGGCCAGCTGGGGCTTCTCGGGGGCCTGCTGGGCCAGCCGGGTTGTCCTGAGGGGGGCTATCTGTGCGCACTCCCGAAGCCTTACCAACCGTCACCTTCATGTCTCTGCCGAAGCTTTGGGCGTCCTGGGCCGCTCAGCGCACCAAGTTGGGCAGGCCCCAGATCATCGAGGTGCTGACGGATGACAACAACGGAACCGTGGCGCTGCACAACGCGCTCGTCGTCGTGTCCTCTTGCATACCTGGTCGGGCTGGGCGAGTTTTGTCGACTACAATGGGTGTGGTTACGCCAGAGTGTGGTTTGCGATTGGCGCCGTTGGGGCTTAAGGGGGCCGCCACGTTGCGCCAAAGGTTTGAAGATCCCTCGTCGGGGCGCGGCGGCGATCTCTTTCGATGTCTTCCCCCCAGGCAAACCACACCCTCTGCGAACCACACCCATCGGAGTCGATGAGCATAAGCGACCAACGTTGAGGCGGGCTTCGAGCCGGCTGGGGGGCTGAGGTGGTCCAGTGTTGGTTCCGGCCAGCAGAATGAGGGAAAACAGGGGCCCCCTCGTCGCCGCGGCTGGACGCGGTTCGAAACACTGGTGAGTTTCGACCCCAGGAGGGGTCTGGGCACCGATCTTGCAGGGATGTGCCCGCGTCACCCCCCCCTCTTGGCCGATGTTCTCGGGGCCCGTCCCAGTGCAGACCGCCCAGGCTGTTTCCAAGGCGAATGGGCGAACATCGTTGAGGGGTGGGCTCTCGACTTGCGGGATGGCTGCGCGGCGGGGTCCGAGGGTGAGTTCAGCTTCGCGTGGAGGCACTTTCGCCAGAGGGCCCTCCCCTCTCTCATCCCCTGGGCTGCTTGTCGCGATTCGCTCGCTGCCCGAACCCCGTCGAGGCCCCATCCCGTATCTACAAGTCACAGGAATTTATTTGTCAATCCTGCCTAGGTGGGATTTTTTTTCACCAAACGATGTTCCCCACCCGTGCTTGATAAGCGGATCTTCCTTAATCTCGTTAGTAGTTAATGAGTGTTCCGGATTTTCGCCCGGTACCCTCACGTGGACGCCTCGGTTGGGAGGGGGAGGGAGGTGGACGAGAGTGAGCATGATGAGGAGAAGGATGAGGATGAAAATGATATCCCTTTTCCCCTACGGTCTCGACCTCCCTCCTTTTTTTCTAATGTTTCTCTCTTCCTCCCGTGGATCTTTCAATATCTCTACACTTTGTTTATCCGTAAGGGCTTCGCCCCATGCCGCCAGCCCCCTGTCTAGGATAATGGGAGATGCAACATCTAAATCATGAGGTCTGGGCGCCGCTGTGAAGCAGTGTCGGGACCTGTTTGGTTTTCGACCCTGACCCTATGGATCTGCGTGAGGGGTGCCACCGAATTTCAGAAATGTAGCAAATCCCATGTGCTTTTGGACCCTGACCCTGCCGATCTGCATGAGGGGTGCCAGCAAATTTGAGAAATTTGGCAAATTCAATGTGTTTTTGGACCCTGACCCCGCCGATCTGCGTGAGGGGTGCCACCGAATTTCAATAATGTGGCAAATCCCATGTGTCTTTGAACCCTCACCCCGCCGATCTGCGTGAGGGGTGCCCGCAAATTGCAGAAATGTGGCAAATCCAATGTGTTTTTGGACCTTGACCCAGCCGATCTGCGTGAGGGGTGCCACCAGATTTGAGAAATGTTGCAAATCCAATGTGTTTTTGGACCCTGACCCTACGGATCTGCGTGAGGGGTGCCACCGAATTTCAGACATGTGGCAAATCCCATGGACCCCGCCGATCTGCGTGAGGGGTGCCAGCAAATTGTAGAAATGTGGCAAATCCGATGTGTTTTTGAACCCTCACCCCGCCGATCTGCGTGAGGGGTGCCAGCAAATTACAGAAATGTTGCAAATCCAATATGTTTTTGGACCCTGACCCTATGGATCTGCGTGAGGGGTGCCACCGAATTTCAGAAATGTGGCAAATCCCATGTGTTTTTGGACCCTGACCCCGCCGATCTGCGTAGGGGGTGCCAGCAAATTTAAGTCATTTTGCAAACCCAATGTGTTTTTGGACCCTGATCCCGCCGATCTGCGTGAGGGGTGCCGGCAAATTGTAGAAATGTGGCAAATCCAATATGCTTTTGGACCCTGACCCCGCCGATCTGCGTCAGGGGTGCTACCGAATTTCAGAAATGTAGCAAATCCAATGTGTTTTTAGATCCTGACCCCGCCGATCTGCGTCAGGGGTGCTACCGAATTTCAGAAATGTAGCAAATCCAATGTGTTTTTGGACCCTGACCCCGCCGATCTGCGTGAGGGGCGCCAGCAAATTACAGAAATGTGGCAAATCCAATGTGTTTTTGGACCCTGACCCCGCCGATCTGCGTGAGGGGCGCCAGCAAATTTACGACATTTGGCAAATCCACTGTTTTTGGACCCTGACCCCGCCGATCTGCGTGAGGGGTGCCACCGAATTTCAGACATGTGGCAAATCCCT